AACACAGGTGGGCGCTGTCAATTTCTCTGTCCACGTCTTCAAGGCGCATCCAAATCAACGTGCAGAACCGACTGGCCCAATTAAGTTCGCTGACAAGCTTCTCCTGCAGGTGCGTCCACTGCCAGAGGTAACACGGAGGAGGGGGCTGTGCTCATCGGAACGCGACGTCGGATATTTGCTGCGGCGCTCGTCGGTCACGCGAGCCGTGTTACCTGCAGCCACGGAGGAAGGACAAGTAAGGAGAGGCCCTGACGTCACTCGTTGCGAAGCCGAGATGAAGCCGGAAGTCGGCCGTATTGACTAGGCAAATTCTCCTCTCTTGTTTACATGTGAATGCGAAGCAGAAGGCACGACTCCCTCTCTGTCTCAAAAAGCACGTGGCCTGCGCGCCGCGTGCGTCGGTGCTATCCGAAACCAACAAAACGGATTTCAACACGCTGTCTTGCCGCGATACGGTTGAGGAAAAATCTGCGTATGGCTGTTGTACTCTTGCACTGCCGGCGTTAACGATAAACACGGCAATTTGCACGTTAAGCTTTTTTTTAATTTGATGTGTACTTCGTGAAAATAAAGATTATATTTCGGACATTGCCGCACGACGAACCAGGCACAGAAATTTGTACAGCTTCTTTCAGATCACTTTTTCCCCTTTTGCGGTTCTCTTTAGGTTTTATGAAATTTTCGGTCAGTCTGTGGGCTAGACACAACGATAAAAAAAGAAAAAAAAATGTCTTCCCTGCAATAAACCCGGAGGTCCGTAATTACGCCAGTAAAGTCGGCGTCGGTGAAGCTTGTGTGTGTGGCAGCCCGTTGAGTTTGCGCCGGCCTCTTTGTTTTCGCCCCTATTTTGTCCGACGCGCACTGGTTCCTACGGATATCCCAAAGGCCATGATTTCATTAGGACGAAAGCAGCGAAGACCACCCGAAAGTGCGTGGGAACACGTCTCCAGTGTGATTCACGCGCACAAGTAGCTACGGAGAACTGAAACCAGGATCACGTTAGGGCGAAAGGTGGGAAAGTTAGCCGAAGGAATACGTGAGAAAAGGTCTGCGGGAAGCTTCACACGTCGACACAGCCGCCAAGGACGGCAGGGAAAGCCAGCCAAATGCGAGGGAAGATGTCTCCGGGATAGGTGGCTAGTCATTAGAGGAAAATAAAGAGAAGGCGCTTGTTTCTGCCTTCCTTATCTGGAAGAGAGCTCAGCGCCAACCGTCAATTGGTAACTGTACAGGAACATGAAAAGCAAGATTAGATTACAGTCTTAATAAGGGCCTGTGGACCGCAAATGCATCGTCCGTTGTCATAAGAAGCAACACCGCATAACTGTCACTAACCTGCAAGGCATTCATTGAACGAATTCTTGAGCACAGTCGTTATCTTCTATGATAGCTTTTAAGCATAATTTTGACGGACGCTGCAAATTCGGAGTACGTATACGCGCGTTCGTTCCGTGGTTTCTAGTTCAGACACCTGGTTACAACCACCACCGGGGAAAAATCGCGTAGCTAACAATGCGGCACAAAGAATGGATGCTGTCGAACACCTGCAGTACGCCACGGTTAGGTGCGAGGCCCATGAAAACGCGCACACCGCGGCTGGACCACCTGAACGGTGCCGCACCGCACTACATCAACAATAACAAAACGCCGCCATTGTGCCTAGTGAATATGGCCGCGCGTGACGTAATTTGCGCCACATTTTTTACGCCCTGCTCCGCCTAGGCATGCCCTCTCCTTACCTTTCCTTCCTCCGTGCCTGCAGCAGTGGCCGCACTTGCAACTGCCGTGCACTACATCGAGCCCCTTCCTGTGGCCGCTAGACGTGGCACCAAATACATCCTAAGGAATGCGCCAGAAATAACAGAGAAGCAAATTCGAACACACCACGAAAACGCCGCCGCGACCATTGAAGAAACATTACCGGAAGTGGCGCACCGGACATCTGCTGGGGTAGGCCGTTCGGCGCGAGCCAGTTTGTTTACAAACATCGAAGCCATCTATAGCGACACATTCGATCCTTGTTGGCCATATTACACTCCTTGAACCTCAGTGAACGTTAAAGTACAACAGATGGTCAAATTGGGAATTCCAGAGTCCTCCACTTCGGCGTCTCTCACAATCATATGGTGGTTAGGGGACGTCAAACCCCAGATATTAAGTGCTAGAATTATCACTTGAAGCCAAGATCTATTTTTTGAACGCCACCCATGTTGTTGTTTCAATGATGCGAGGTCGCACACTAGGTATCTAGGTCAGATCACCTAGTGTGTGACTCCGAAATTTCCGGAGCCCTCCACTACGGCGTCTCTCATAATCATATGATAGTTTTGGGACCTTAAAACATACATATCTATCAATCGATCGACTAGAGAACATGTTCAGTGCTGACTGTGGGGGACCCCGAGAACGTACATGCTTTCACCGTCGATGCAGGGCGCATCAACAACGTCGGTGACTGACCTAGTGATGTGTAGATTAGGTGGCTTGTGATGACGTCATTGAAGCTGCCATGATTCAGTTTAGCGTAATCAAAAATATGTTCGCTAAGTCAGGTGTCATCGTCAACTCATCGCAGGCGGGTTTATTCACTGTTCTGGCGCTCAGGTGCTGTGGTAACGTTTCCGCACTGACCTACGCCATTGAAAGTAGCGAGGATGCTGTCAGAAAGCTGCGTACGTGACGTCACAGAAAAGCCGTCAACATGCTGAAATCAACCGTACAGCGCCAAAAAACTTTCTTCTTCGTCTCGAGACTTGTTTTTGTGATGGAAGCAATGTGTAAAAATGACGTTGTCAAAGGGCCCCTGAATACCTCTGAAAATATAAAGAGCGCGCTTCTCTCCTGGAAGCTTCCAGTCTTCTAGGCGCAATTTGTGACGCCAGCCGTCTATTCAAATGACGTCATAAGGAAATAAGCTCTTGATTGGTTCATACACGAGGGATATCAGTTGTGCACTGTCTCCCACCCTTCTTTTCCATGAAGTCGCTTGACCATTCTTCCTTGGCTCGCTTGACTATCGCGCGTGCTCAGCTGATTTCACTTCGTCTTCTGTGTTTTCGATCAGCGCAAGCAGGACTATAAGCTCGATATGGTGATAGGCACAACGCTTAGCGCTAACACACTGTCCGCGTTCTTTACGAAGAAGTAAGTAGTGAGGAGGAGATAGCGCGTGTTCTAAGGGTAGTGAAGGTGACAAAGAAACCACTCTCTTGTCTATCTCGAAGAGGTTTAGGAGCCCTTCAATTACAACGAAAGAAGTTCTAAGCCCGAGCAATAACAGAAAGCACCAGGTTGGCTTATTTCGATAAGCTGCCATAGGAAAACATACCATCGACCCAAAAGCGTGTTTTGAACGTCTCTCGTATTTGGGTCGCACAAATGGAGAAACTTCACGCTTGTGTCTCGACAACACCACCATTTATTCAGGTTGAGACCCTTGGCTCGCAGAGAAGGCGGCTATAAATAGACCTAAATACCGTGCGCTTCTCACGTGTTCTGCACGTGTTAACGGTCCGTCAATGCATGCTTCTGTAGTTTTTCACAAAATGTAAGGATAGAAGTAAGCCCCACCCACAAAAATGGCTGCCCCCCCCACCCCCCACACACAGATAATATGCATCGAGTAGCATTTAACTGTTACGTCACGTCAAGCACCTGTCACGTATTTGGTGACGGGGACCTTCCTGTTGGTGCCACTGGTTTTCTGAAGTAAACATGGACTTCCTTCCAAATTCAGCAAATATACCGCCGTTATTACTCAGTTAAACGTAATATTTTATGAGTGAAAGCCGAGTTCTGAGTTCCTAATATGCTTAGTGTTTACATTATCAGTAAAAAGAAAGTACTGTTTGAACGAAAACTTCTTAGCATTCATTCTCTCACACAGATGAACTGGCAGATGCGCCGCAGTTCTGGAGGCGGGACTTGTATTCCTAGGTTGTCACAGATTGCAGATGAGCAAGAGTTTTTTCCTACACAATGAAGTTTTATAAGCAGTGCACCGAAACGGCACAACTGAAAAGGAAGCGAATTACAATGGCGTCTTAATTTCTGCTGCGCCGTTCAGTAGCGCTATAGAGCACTTACGATAATGCGAATGTCATAACGCCAACTCACCCAACACTGACCTCTTTTAACGGTGATACCGTTCCACGCAACATGCTGATGTTGTTGATGTGAGTATGTACTTGAGCCACTGTTTCTACGAATAAAACTTGTTGGAAGTTAGCGCCTCGTATTCGCTATGATTGTATTTGCCCTTATTTTGGGACGTGAACCTAGTGCGACTCATTCCCCCTAACCTCCCTTATCGGCGGCGATAACGGCAGTTTAATGGCGGCGATTTTAATGTTATGGCGGTGATTTCAAAACATTGAAATGACCACGAGTGTTGAAGATTGGGCGAGTTGGTTCATCGTAGTAAATCCCAATGTGGCCCTGGATTGCTTTGTGAACATTCACTGTCGCGATTGTGGATGTTCTTCCATGTTTGATCAATGTGAAGTGGTTAAAAAGCACCCGTCACAATTAACTCGGGAAATTATTGAAGCGCATTGTATAAAGCAAGAGCTGGCAGCACGTGTATTAGCGCCCCGTCTTTGGTTTTATCTGAACATGAAGTGGTCTTCCTTAATAAGCATAACCGCCTATGAATCTGTGATATATGAAGGTGCGATGTTGTGTGTAATCTTGTCGTTGCGTTGGGTGGTTTTGTATGCTCGCGCCGGTCTACATATTTGATGCAGTTTGACAATAAAGCTCAGTTGGAAGTTAGCGCTCTGTCCTCCTGTGTCGGTCTGCTCGGCCGTTTCTTCTTCCCCGTAATGCGCTATACCAGTTCAAGTATTGAAATGACCGCCATGAAACTACTTGTTTAGTCTTCGTTTCTACCGCTAGGTGGCGGCACCGTACAAATAAGTTTTGAGTCGGACAATCTATCAGTTGCGCAACGAGAAAGGAGGTAAAGAGCAACAAGACAGATATCGAGCTGCCGCGAAGTGTGCAGGTGGCGCGTACGTGAGATAGTGGCTTGCGGTGTGCTGCGTGACCCACCCGCGGATACTCATCTTTCGGTCTTCTCCGCGCACTCGCAACCATGGTCGACAATTCGAGCCGCAGTTTCAAGGTTGTTTTATCCATGCAACGTGAAGGAAACAACAACGGCGACGTTCATTACAAGGTGAGTCCGCAAGATGTGATCTACCGCAAGCTACGATCGGCTCCTAACGCGGGGTACCGAAAGTGAGCCTCGCGATCAAAACCGAAAGCATCAATGCGGCGCGCGCCACCGCTGAAGCCCGCTGTTAACCGAAACGATCAGGCGATTACGTCCGCATTGCGAAAACGCATTCGTACTTTTCGAATAGAGCCGTTTTACTTCGCATTCCCAGTGCGCGATTGCCGGCCGAAGTGGCGGTCAGATTCCCAAATATAGCTATAAGTTATCGGTGGCGCGCTGACGCCTGCGTATGTCGAAGCTTGTTATCGATTGCGGTGCGGCGATCTCCAGCGCCAGCCGTGTTAGTAGGTGTGATCGGTTCGTTTTGCGAGAATCGGAGTCGTAAAACGAAAATAAAAGGAACAGAAAGTTGCGCCGCAGCTAGGAAAACAAACAAGACCGCGCGTGACACTCTCGATATGATCATTTTGTTGGATTTTGAAGACAACTTGTGAGGCGCTTGATTGACCCACGGCGTTGGAGCAGGAAATATGAAATTCTAATCGTTCGTACTATGATCCCTTGAGTCAAGTGCTACGTGACATAAAACGCGCACGTGCAACACCGGAAGGTTGGTGTACGTGTGGTTTTGCACGTATTCATGACGCGCTCGTCAGAGCTTCTTTCTTGTCTTGATGGTGTAATTTTCGTGCAAGCCGCATGAAAACGATCGTGTGCGGAAAAGCTCGAAGGCAGGCAGATGGAAAGTTTGCGCGCACTTAAGTAATTCTGGCACCGATTGGTTTTGTTTTGACTTCTTTCAGTCACTGAGCAAACCGTGTACAATCAAACGATCGAAATGTTGCGACGTAACATAACTGCATCAGCCGAATCAAATTTAGCCATTCAGGCATTTGCAACGGCCTGGAGTGCAATTTTTCGTTGACGGCTTAGTATCTCATGAACAAAAAATAATCTGCAGAGTTATAATGTGAGACAGAATGCAAATCCTCCAGGACTCAATATGTATAAGTTCATCGTTTGCCTCAGGTTGTCATTTCACCTACCATAATGTGAGCAGCTCACCTAGCGTGCTGTTTTCAATGCCCTTGTATTCACTTGAGAAGAGTGTACGTCTTTTCGTTAGCATGGCATCCAGAAGACAGTTCGTCAACTGCCATCGTCATACCTCTTTTCCAGGTGGATGGAACCAGGTTTGGATCTGAGAGCACAATTAAACTGAACGTCGAAACGTCCTATACATTAACGTTGTGCTTTAGGCCAGCGCAAACATTAGAGTGAGTGACAATTGATTCTTTTATGTGCATGCGTTGTAACACGCTTGGTCATGTTGCACGTTTCTTATGCATTGAATATTTCTTCTATTTTGCTCTGGTTCTCTTATTTGTGCTGGTTGTTGTATTGTGTCAATTTATTGGACATGTCAATTTTATTCGCATCTCTGTGCACCAATATTCTTTGATCATGTTCCATGCTAGCATTTGTTTGGGTCTAAGAAAAAAAGCAAATTAATGGGCTTTAACTGTAACATCGAATTCAAAGAGTTGTGTGCTAAAGGAAGAGCTGGACACACAGTGTGGTGTTTATAGTGATAAGTAATCAACTTTTATCTGATCATTTCTAAAGCATAATGGTTGTACTAAGGATCATACAATGTTGATGCTAGTGTTCTTACTGCTAGCCATGTCTACTTTAACCTGACTTCCTGTGAAGGAATATTTGTTGATACCCAAGTTAAATCTTTAGTATTACCACTGATGCTTCTGCTAAGATGTGGTGTAGCATAAATGAATAAAAGTTTATATTGATTGTATATATGTATTTATAAAAGTTGTTTGCATTGTTTGAGCCCTAATCTGGGGTTTTTCAGAAAGTGTTGGCACTTGCAACGCCATACAAATAGAGCTAATCTGTGTTGGCGGTGGTACAACCCATCAACTGCATGTTATGTTCTTGAAATATTTTGTTCAGCTGTTATATTTATGTGCCTCCTGCTTCATAGTCATATGTAAACTCTTTTTGAAACCTTCACTGAGGACGGCACCCCTTGTTGCTGAACAACTGACTATATATATATATATATATATATATATATATATATATATATATATATATATATATATATATATATATATAATTTTCTAACTTTTCATTTGTGTTTCTAAGGAGCATCTCACTCTTGGGCTCACGATACACTCCCAAGGAGAAGTCGCGAGACCACTCCTCTTCAACCTACTTCGTCACATGGTCCAGCCTTGGTGTGGGTGTCACAAAGCATGGCAAGCGGGATAAAATCCCACTTGCACTGCAGGTATGTGTTGCAGCTGTTTGTGCATTGTAGTGATTCTAATTCATCCGGATTGCTTCCTCCACCTCCTCATCTTTTTGGCACTTTCAAGTGAAAAGATATTGAAGGAGGAGTAAATTGTTCTCACTAGGTGTTTCGTTACAGAGCACATTTAAGAAGTCAGGCTTTAAACAAGAAATTGAAATGAGACGTACAGTATTGTTTTCCACGCATGATTGCTTGTACCATCCTTTGCACATGCTCTGTAAACACTGCCATAAATTGCACTGCTTAGTAGTTCTCAGTAGTGTTTATGCCTATAATGTAATGCTTAATAAGGAAATAACCTTTTGCACTTAATGAACATGTCTCGCAGTGTTAATAGGAAAAAGGTCTGCTAGTCGGTGGTGGAAGGTGTCTCTTAATTAAATAACTAGATTGCACAATGTCTTGTCTAAATTGCTTGATCTTTGTTTGCTGCACATTGTAAGTGTGAACTATGATTTAACCTCATCTGGAGTAGATGTATGAATGAACCTCTTATGCCCTTTTGCAAAGGGTTTAAGCTGTGCAAATGTTGATGCTTGAAAGGAATATTTAACAGCAGGTGGTATGTTTTATTGTGAAGAAAAGAACTTTGCATTCAGACAAGGCAGGGAGAGATGAATTAAGTGCCAACTAAGCTGATTGAGCAGGAGGTCACGAGTACAATGGCATCACATGATGGCGAAATGTGTCAGCGTAGAAAAAGAAATGTTAGCATGGATCTGCCCAGGGGCTCCGACAATCTGACATGCAGAAGCCGCGGTGCATGAAACAGCTTGCAGCTGCGGCACAGCAGCTGCTCCCCGAATGAGGCTCGCTTGACAGGTCGCAACAGTTGTGGGAAGAGTTCTGTGCAGCTGTGTCTCCTTCACTTGGCTGCGGGCCTCATTGTCCTGCCATCTCTGGAGGAGACCCACTCAACGTGTTTCTGGCTTGCGTGCTTTTTTTTGTTTTAACTGTGCAGTCTTGTGGTTGATAGACACGACCTTAATAGAAACGAGCAGACTATAAATCCAAGGAAGGTACGAGAGACGTTTCTTGTACCGTTTTAGGTGTATGTGCGATACAGATCCGAAGAAAGTTTATTGATCGAAAGACAACATGCCACTAGCAGCAACCAAAGGCTGCAGGCTTGATGCCTGCCTCCAGCAAGTTGGCTTTTTAATTGCTTTACTTTTTTTCACGTCTACAACCATATAACTACAATGCACATGAACAGTACAGCATTCCCTATATCTTTTTGGCTTCATTATCTGCTTGTTTTCATTAGACTAGGTTGTACAAAACAAAAAAAAAGGGTCCTCAAAATATAGTTCTTTCAGTAATTCCGGTTGACAGACCTATAAAATTAAAGTTTTTTAGCACGGGTGTCAAGTTTTACGGGGTTGCTCCTTTCTCCCCGCCCCATTCAGTCGAGTCTGAAAAGAAACAAGCTTTGTGATGGATGCAAAGATAAAAAGTTAATTGATGGCAAGCTTATCATAAAGGTCGGACTTTGATCTCTCATTTTCTGATTTGGGGATTTTGAGTCACAATGTATTCTTTTTGCAGCTACAAATGAACACACTTATTAAAAGACCTCCAATATGTTGCTTTATCAGGCACACTAGCTGAACCAGGCAACTTACAACTTCACTTCAAGGAAAGCTTCTCTAAATTACAGACTTTGGTGGCATAACTTGTGAGGAACCTGGCATAGAAATGTGGGTGTACACAAATAGGCCCTGAAAAGCGTGCCGCTCACATACATATTCGTTTGTGTTATTGTCCAGCGATATGTGTTCTTTTGCTCGTAGGCTCGGCGGCGATCAGCCTTTTCTGATATGAAAATGGTCATTTATTCAAGTTACTCGCCATTTCTTCGCTGCATTTCGTGTTTGCATCTTGTTGTTTTACATATGATTGTCGCTGTAGTTCGTAGAAACAGAAGTATTGTGCTGCTAAGTATGTGGGTGAATGTCTGATTTCTGGCAATGAGGAAGAAAAGTTTCAGAATGGCATATTGTGTTATGTGAATGAAAGAAGGACAATAGCATGTCAGGCAGGCACAATCCAAACTTCACTTTCCTACACCCCCCCCCCCCCCACTCTTTATTTTTGATAAGGGTGAGCTCCTAACTTTTTTTTACTTTGCCTCCAGATTCTCGATGTTGGTGAGCTCCTGGTCAACCTGCAAGTCAAGTTCTACAAGGAAAAGGACAAAGAACATGCTACCTGGGGCAATGCCCTGCACCAGATTGACCTCGATTGCGAAGTGAGTCGCTCGTCGGGAAGCCTGGTGGTCAACAAGCAAAGCTTTCGGTAATGGTCTATCAACGCCTGCATGAAGCCTGGAGTGGTACTTTACCATTGAGCTGTTGTTAGGCTCATACGACAGCCATGGCCTGTGGCAGTGCCGGAATACTGTAGACGTTATGGGCAGCTGGTGGCTTATAACACATATGGGCCTGCCATTTCCTCATTACCCAGCACACAGCAGGGTGTCTCATCATCTTGGCAGCCGCATCGCAGCTGTGGGCCCTAGCCTCTTTGAGAGCTTGTGAGCGAAATCTGTGCTGAATGGGCATGAGTTAATTGGCCTCGGCTAATCAATGTCACTGAAAGTCTCCAGTCTTTCCAAAGAGCTACATGTCGCTGCTTCACAAATGTTTGCAGGACATGAGCTGGCATGTTTGCACTGGGGATGTATCGAGTCTGCAGCCTTAGATGAAAAGCTGTCAGTGTGTTCATTCCACTTTTTGTGCACCTTTAGCTTTGTTGTTTCACTTCGATGACAAGTGAATGTGGTGATTTAATTAGTGCTCTGTCGTTATTGCTGGAGGTGTTTGGTGTATAGATCACTATTGGTGCTCTTGAACTTCGGGAGGTCTTGTTTGTGCACCCTTTCACGCGTTTTGAAGCCAACTTGCTGAAAGTAGCTATTAGTCTTTATATTACTTGACGGTGTATTGGTCCCTTCTTAAATATGTATGTGGACAGATGATGTCATTTGAAATAGAACAAGCTGGCATTCATTGCGATTACCATTTACTAGCCACTTTAGGTTTCAAGTTATAATTGCTAATTTCGGTTAATTAGTTTGGCTGGTGAAACAGTCTGAAATGTTGCACAAGATATGCGGTAGCTATAGAGCAGGAAGGGAAGGACTTTTCTTTATCGTTTTATTTTGGACAGTGCATCAAACAACATTTTCGTTGACATTGATTGCTCTGAGTACCTTATCATATCTTCGTTATCTTGTATACGTGTAATAGAATATTAAAGTTATATATATCTAGTAATACCTCCTGCTTAGGAAGATCAACTGGACGTTTATAGAAGCTGCTAGGTCTTCCATCTCAAACTCTTGGGATGCCTAATGAACATTGCCATGAAATATCTAGTCAAACAACTGTCACACTGGGGATGCCTTACCAAAAGCAGACAAACTCAGACGTTGAGGCTCACATCGTTCTACCCATTCAGAGAACAAAAGGTCACAGTAGCTAACCAGTGAGTGCCTTGAATAACATCACTTTTCTTTACACTCTTCTGCACTGTCTTGCTGTTTAGAGCAAGTGAGTGCATCATAGCTAATGGGGAACTTTAGTTCCCCACTTTCTCCAACTTGCCATGGGTCGCCTCTTTATACAAGCGTCTTGTTGACTGCAAGCGTAGTGAGGAATTTTTCGCAGCATTGAAATTGTCTTAGCTGCTGCCAATTTTGGCTCTTTCGAAATTGGTGTCACATAATGGTACTCCGAAATCCATGATGCCATGAGTTTAAGGGGAGACGCTCCTCGAAAGCACTTTTTTTTTGTTATTCAACTTAGAGCTTCAGAAATTGGACCACTGATGCAGTTTTTCCTCCTGATTCCAAATCTGTAATCAGTTTTTACATAAGTGCAATAGTTTGGGAGTTGTGTTTCAAGTAATGGTGAAACTTGATAAGTTTTCCGGGAACTTTCGCGCATACTAAATGTTCATGCAGAGAGTTGTTCAATGGCTCCTTTTGCTCCCTATTAGCCATAGAGTGCCGATATCTAGCTAGAAATTGTGCTCCAACTTTGAAACTATGAAAAAAACATCTGTGTAGCAAACTACCCTTTTTTTTCCACTCGACCACCATTAAATTTATTAATAGATATTTACAGCTGATAGGTTGTGCTGATTCAAGTAGATATCGGCACCCTACGCACTCTCCTCAATGTGTGTGCCAAATTTCGTCGTCGTATGACCATTCTAAGTGCCCGAAACACTTCCCGCAAAAATGCAAATTGGCCAAAATTGCGAAATGAGAAAAACGCGTTTGAAAGTTTGAAAGTCTGTATTTACAAAAATGAAAAACGCAGTAGCACGAAACTTGTGCTGAACACATACACACATGTCCAGAGGGAATATCAGTTGTCTAAAACTCTCCAGCACCGTAGGTTTTCCCTTCCCGGCTGGTGCGGCAGGACTCTTCCACCCGGGCCCTCTTGGCTGCACTGCGACAGTGTGCCCTCGCCTCAGCGGTCTGACGCACATTCATCTTGTGCATGCGCATGCTGTCTCGGCGGTCGCTGAGGGTAACCAGGGCCTCCGAAGGAAGCACCCCAAGCTCTTCCAGCACCTTTTCAAAGCTCGCGTGGCCCCGGTTGAACCACAGGACTGCAATGGCTGTGGCTGTTTCCACAGCAGTCCGGGAAGCAAACCGGGTCTTTGGACACAGCAGCCATATTTTGCTGTTCAGGGACTCGGCCGCGTTCTGTGTCTTGCCGTGGAGGCACCGGGCAAGCAGCTTCGCATCTGTGAGACGCTTGTAGATTGTGAGGACTGCCAAACCCTGGGCCTTGGTCAGGAGGGGGGTGTGGCACGGTGCAGGCTGGCCCTGCGCCTCAGCACGTCGGTGCTTGCACCACGAGTCTGGGCCTGCAGGACAGAACTTGTGACTTCCAGCACCGTCTGTTGAGCACGAGTGCAAACATGAGGCCCATATGGCAGTGTACATCTTGTGGACATTTCCCCGATTGTTCACAATGACCACCTGAAAGTAAGTTTGAAGCTTCTGGATGGTGGTCTCCTTCAGCTTCTCCCCTCGTGGAAGTGGCGTTGGCAGCTTCCGCAGGCCGGTGCCCAGACGTTTCGCCACGTGGTTGGTGCACTCCTCTTTTTCAATTGGAGTGTCAGGGTACACGTTGGCATCACAGACCCCGTTGTAGGCCTTGCTGTCTCCATCGCTTAGGAAGATGGTGAACCGCAGGGGTGTCTCATAGTCCACAGTCCTCTGCCAAATGCGCACTGCAGCTTCGGCCTCCATGGCATGCGAAGAACAGTCGCAATTCTTCTCACAAACGGGATGATGAAACGCCTGCCATGTTTCTTCATCGCCTCCCATGTCGTTATGCAAACTGCACGCCAGGCAGAAGTTGGAAAGCACTTCATAGTCCAGGCACAAACCAGTGTCCAAGGACACTACAGTTCCCACACCATTGTGGCTTTTGTGGCCTCTTTTTTGCCATGTGCCGTCAAACATGACTGGCACGTCACTGTTACCAGCCACCTCTTTGGTGACGCTGCGTGCCCTTTGCATGTTTTCACAGACAGCCTTCACTGCCGCACTGTGAATCTTTTTGCCGATAGCATGGAAGGTCTTATGGTGCATAGGGTTTGGCAATCCAACTACTGCACAAAATCGTGAAAGTTGCTCATGCCCGATACCGACGGCACGCGCTGCAAGCACCACTTTCAGGTTCACGGCAAAGGCGTCACGCGAACTCCCGCTGTCGTAGCTTCTGCTTGCACCGCGGCCGCCATCTGACGCGACCCGCTTCGACGAGTACGCGGACGAAAGGATGCTCTCCGAGCACTCCGCATTCTCGCAGTGTAGCTCCAGAAACGCCGAAAGGCCTTTCCGCTTTTTATTCGGTGCCCGAACTGCGAGTTTACTCTCGTGACAAACGGGGCATGCCGCGCCTGCGACGACGGCCGTCAATGCACCCAACTCGCACAGCACTACGCTTTCGGCACGATCGGCATTCGGCCGGACGTCGTTTTCGAATAACGCGATCTTTTTCTGCGATGCACTCACAAAATTCACTGCAGCGTTGATCTCGTCGTCGCAGTTGCCATGGTCGACGTTGCCGTGGTCGATGTTAGGCCTACCGGCCGCTGGCCCGTCGCGGACATTTTCGTTGGCGGTGGCTTTCTTGTACGTCCTCCGCCGCTTCCCTCTGAACTTGTTCTTACTTCTGTATTTCCGATGGTCGGCAACGGCCTTTTTCGGGCTTGCCATCGCACGAAAACAGCGAAAAATAACTCCGGAAAACAGTGAAGCGAACTACGGCAAGAAAACACGGGTGCTGTCAGCCAATGGCGGCCCTGCGTTAGTGGCGCGCGGTTTGAAACGGCGGGAAAAGACTGTTTTTGTTGCTTTTTTTTTAGATTTTTCGTGAACGTACGAGACTTCAAGAACCGGGATCGTGGAGAGTAAGGACAACTCTACACGAGCCAGCGGCCGCAATATGGCGGACAGCTCTCTTCGCGGCCCCGCGAGCACGCGAACAGCAGCCCGTTTTGTGTAAATTTCGTGATGCCGCGCGTCACTGCCGCTCACTCAGACGCGTTTTTCACTGACTTCTGATGCTTATTTCGCTGTGATATTTTCAGATGTCAAAATATAATGTATAAAGATGATAAAGCAACAAAAAACAGAAAAGGTGAAATTTGGAAAAAAAACGCGACTTTTCCACCCGCGTCTCCCCTTAAGGCAAACAGTGTGTGTAATCTTGCTTGTCACTGCTTATTGGTTTAGTTTTTTGTCGATTACAGCTATGTGCAGCTAAGTCGTGCGTCAAGATCATAACCTTGCAGAATGCATGGAAAGAAAATACCCTTCATCTGTGTTGATCGTGGTCGAATGAAAACCATTGCGTGAAAAGAAATCAGAGTAATGACTTAGAGGGAGATAAATTCCTGACATCTATTCAAATAGAAGTTCAAATTTCCTGTTGATGATCAATAAATATAAGGCAATGAAGGCACACTAATGCCACATATGAAAGTAATAGGTATGGTATGATAAACTGGTCTGGGTAGCTTCCATTCGAAGAATGGCTGTCATAGAAAACTTACACTAGCTTTGTAGAAGATCAAGAAGTGATCTCTACATCGGTGATGTGATAGTTCGTCTTTCCAATCGTCAGATGGTGCCGTCAACTTATGGGCTGGAAGTCGGTGATGGTGTTTCGTCGTGTCAAAAGAGTGTTGCGACGAGGTCGCGTCACGTGTAACGTGCGTTTGTGACGGTATCTTGTCAAGCCCTGACAACACAATTTTCTCCTTCAAGCATTTCCGCTGGGTTGTTGCGATCTAATGATTCAGGATTAGATTGCAAATGTGACAGTAAATTTCGCTGCCTGTCAAACTGTTGCAGCAGTTTTGAGCATGATTTCAGGTACAATCTGAAATACTCACCCACTTTGAACGCCTACTAAGACTTTTGCTATGATGGCGAATCGTGGCTTCACTTTTTGCCGAGAGAAATGATTTGTTAGATTCCTTCTGATGGCGTTGAAGATCAAGTTGTTTTACTGCCAATATGGAAGTTTTGTTGAACATGCACGCAAACATTTAGGGTCGTATTCAGTAAGTATGCTCGCTATAATAATGTTGCTTTTAATGCCTTTGCTGTTGCAGAGTGTCAGAACTTTTCCTACGTAGTGGTGCTTTCATAATTTTCGTTCTTACATTGTGCCATTTTGCTTTTGTATAGTTCATAACGTTAAAGTGCTTGCAAGCTTGTGGCGAAATGTTACACCCAGCTAGAGACGTGTACGAACCTGCAGATTTTGCAAAGCTCAGCTTCTTGTGGACTGTTATATGCCAAGCTTCAGATTTGTTAATATTCCTTCTTCCTCGCTCTCAAACCGTAGCACTATGTTAGCACCACCGCTAAGTGCAGTTAGTTGGCAGGTAGAGCAGGTTCACACATGCGTTTTCACTCTGAAGATTTACACGGAGCTTTAATGATCTTTGTGCTAGTTTCAAGTGTGATGCTATTTATTGTGCAATTTGTGAATGTGACTGCATATGTGACATTACTTGGTGATTATGCTCTTGACTTGCCTTTAATGTGTTTCTGTGACTCTGTGAGCTGTGTTGCAACTTGTTTATACACTTATAGCTGTTTGTGAGCTGGACCGGCTACAGAAATCAATCTGCGAGGTAGTATTGAGATGCCCCTTATTTGATTGCTAGTTATGGCTCATTGCCAAACTGCTAAATGACGTGGTCGTCCAAATGACGATTTCTGGTGCTACTATGTGGTGCACGAAATTGTGGACATGCCAGAGGATTTTTATTCATCAGCCTTTCCTCATCACTTGCAAGTTGTCTTGATTGGGCAGCGCAGCACAAATGATGGTAATTCTTGACATATCATGTTTCGTCCTCATGTGAAGTGCTAGAATCATTGCATGCTTAGGTCTTTATGCTGCCTTGCAGCAGCCGCACACTATGTTGTGTAGTCAATAGCACATTACGTCAGACCTACTGCAGTGTAGCTATGATTCCAGCTTTGTCAGTGACATGTCAATGTGCAGGTCTTAATAATGCAATCTCCGTGCATATAATTAGCAGACATTCACATTGCATGTAATACCTGATGCCTATAATTGTTATAAAAATTTAAACTCGTGCAGTTTCCTGATCATGCAGTAATGATTCCCAGACACTGCGCTATGCAAAATACTTTACATGCACACTGATAAACAAACTTTAATAAGCAGACGGAAACTTCTAC